AGCAAATAATGTTCAAACTAATTACATCAATATTCAAAACAATCACTTAAAACAAAAAATGTCTAAAACAAACAATGTTTAAAACAATTTTTTTTTATTCTTCAAGGAGCAGGTTCGCCCAATTCATTCAGGGTTGAGTGGGGAAAATTGCCAACCCTAAACCTACTTTCGTTCACTGAAAGGACCTCAGGCTTATGTCGAGTGTGTATAGCATGATGAACAGTCCATGAATATATAATCAAATTACATATTTTAGTTAGAGGATATGATTTTTATAAATTGTCCAGGATATTGTGATATGATGAGATTAAAGTATGGATCTCAACTGATGATTATATCATGACCAAGAGACTATTCTTCAATGTTACGAGAATATCTCACAACTTGATTATCATTATATAATTTTATTTTGTGAATTGTTAAGTGAATAGAACTCGATTTCCGATAAATATGTTTAAAAGAGAAGATATAATTATTTTTGAAATTCTCCACTCACCAAGCTATTGACTCGTAAGTTTTCACAATTTTCTTGACAGATAACAGTTGAGTTTTGATAGCTTTGGACAGCCTATTGATTTTGGAGCTACAACCATTTGTAGGTTATTTGTGTCAATTGAGTTGAGCATGTAAAAATCATTTGGGCTCACATTCTTATGATATGAAATGACATTTCACTATCTAACATATGATTGGTAGAAAGGTTAAAGTTAGCCTTGGTGGTGGATTCGGCACCCAGCTAGAATCCACAACCAGCGCATATCATGTTTAGGATCCATTAGGGTGATTCGAAATGAATCGTGTCAAATGCAAGTCTTATGTGACCTAAAAAGATGTTAAGGCTAATTCTTGATCTAACACGATGTATGTTTTAGCAAAATGACATATAAACAAAAGAAAAAAACTTGTTGACTTTGTTACTCCATTTAGAACTTAGTTTCTGTTTGACAACCATTTTTTATACATACTCATTTTCAATCACATTCATAAAATAACACATTCTGCACGTAAATTTAAAATTTTTCCCTACTTTTTAATCACATATTCTCTTAAAAATTATGGTTCAAAATATTGTTTTTAAAAAATAATGGTTGTCAAACATAGTTAAATTTTCATTTGAAAGCCCGGTTAAGTTAGTATTGTCGTGAATGTAGTGAATGAATTATAGGAAGTAAAGAAAATAATTCATATAGTGGCTTTCAAATTTATAACACAAAATTTAAAAATTCTATGGTCTACACCTAGAGTCATTAATACGACGGGGTACACAGATGTCTGGCTAAAGTTGAATAAGAGAGACTTCACCTATAAATTTAGCGCAAGTCTTTGGTCCACATGAAATTCAAAGAAAACTGGTACGGTGGTCATGTTGGGTACAATAGAAGTAGTGTCATGTTACTTGCTCTTTGTCTAATTTTGTAACAAATTGACATTTGTAGTCAGTACTTGTTTCTTCTATGATCTATAATATGTTCTCGTGTCAAGTAATAAAAGTCCATGTCATGTATTGTTTGAGAATGAGCAGACTCGATTGATGTTGAATGGGATAAGAAGATGCACGATCAAATTGCAAGACAAGGAACTTAATCCAAACATGAAGATAAAAAGAAAAAA